ATATATAGTTTTGTTTTAACACCAGGATGAGTTAAAACATATTGTCAGTTTCTTCTTGGGAAAAAAAGACTTCGCACATTAAGAAAAAATGGACAAAATATAAGCCCCACCCACCCACCCATTCTCAATTGTAATCAATATTGTATTCATCGTGAGCTGAAGGGCGGAGTTTAGCTGCAAAATCCTCATTTCTCTACAAAAAATTACCAAATAAAGTGTTTTTTTAAAGGGTAGAATTTTTTAGAAAAATATAGATGTTACGATTAAACTCCGCCCTTCCTTGAGAAAAATATAGATGTTACGATTAAACTCCGCCCTTCGGTCTGATTTGGAATGAAAAACTCATCACAATTGAGATCGGGAGGGTGGGTGAGGCTTATTTTTTTTTTTTGTAATATAACAAGATAGTTAAACATATTGTCAGTTTCTTGTTAGGAAAAGAATATTTCGCACATTAGGAAAAAATGGACAAAATATAAGCCCCGCCCACCCACCCATTCTCAATTGAAATCAATATTTTATTCATCGTGAGATGAAGGGCGGAGTTTAGCTGCAAAATCCTCATTTCTCTACAAAAAAATTACCAAATGAAATGTTTTTAAAAGGGTAGAATTTTTTAGAAAAATATTGATGTTACGATTAAACTCCGCCTTTCGGTCTGATTGGGAATGAAAAACTCATTACAATTGAGATCGGGCAGGTGGGTGGGGCTTAATTTTTGTTTTTGGTTTTTTTTTAATATATAGTTTTGTTTTAACACCAGGATGAGTTAAAACATATTGTCAGTTTCTTCTTGGGAAAAAAAGACTTCGCACATTAAGAAAAAATGGACAAAATATAAGCCCCACCCACCCACCCATTCTCAATTGTAATCAATATTGTATTCATCGTGAGCTGAAGGGCGGAGTTTAGCTGCAAAATTCTCATTTCCCTACAAAAAATTACCACATGAAATGTTTTTTTAAAAGGGTAGAATTTTTTAGAAAAATATAGATGTTACGATTAAACTCCGCCCTTGGGTCTGATTTGGAATGAAAAACTCATCACAATTGAGATCGGGAGGGTGGGTGGGGCTTAATTTTTGTTATAACAAGATAGTTAAACATATTGTCAGTTTCTTGTTAGGAAAAGAAGATTTCGCATATTAAGAAAAAATGGACAAAATATAAGCCCCGCCCACCCACCCATTCTCAATTATAATTAATATTTTATTCATCGTGAGCTGAAGGGCGAAGTTTAGCTGCAAAATTCTCATTTCTCTACAAGAAATTACCAAATGAAGTGTGTTTTAAAAGGGTAGAATTTTTTAGAGAAATAATATGTTACAATTAAAAACTCATGAAATTTCAAATCGAAAAATTGCAAAATCTAAAGATTGAAACGTCCAAAAGTTGGAAAATCGGAAAATTGGAAAATTTAAAAATGAAAACTCGAAGAGATGTGAAATTAACGAAAAAAAAAACTAAAAATTGCAAATGAAAAAATTAAAAATTGAAAACTCGAGAAACTCAAATCGAAAAATTGCAAAATCTAAAGATTGAAACGTCCAAAAGTTGGACAATCGGAAAACTGGAAAATTTAAAAATGAAAACTCGAAGAGATATCGCGAAATTAAAGAAAAAAAAACGAAAAATTGCAAATGAAAAAATGAAAAATTGAAAACTCGAGAAACTCAAATCGAAAAATTGCAAAATCTAGAAAAGTTGAAAAATTAAATTTAAACTTCAAAACTCGAAATAACGAAGGAACAAAAAAATGAAAAATTGAAGAAAATTCAAATCAAATAAGCTGCGGGAACTTTATTTACGCCACTGGTTTTTACTTTTTAGAGGTTAATCAGGATGTTTCCTGAATCGCAAAAAAAGTGATAATTTTTCAGAGAAGTGGGATTTATTTGACTGCATTTCAGGGGCGAGGGAAGTTCTGTTGAAATAACCTTCGACCATTTTTTTTTAAATTGGGTACATTTTTACATCACGTATTTTAAAAATCAAAATCTCAATTGTTAATGGAAATTTTAGAACCCGGTTTTCACCACTGTTTTCACTTTATAAAAGCCGCTTATCAAAAGAGATTTCAAATCCCATTTTACAGTAATAGACCCGCCCACCCACCCTCTATTTTTTAGAGGGTATGTCATTAGCTAAAATCAGTCTTATCTTAGGAAGTATTGAAAAAATTAAAATTGAGTAATTTCAAAACCAAAAATTAAATTAACAAGAAACCGAAAAAATTAAAATTGAAAAACAAAAAACATAAAATCAAAACATTTAAAAATCGAATATGTAAAAAAATAACGAAAATAGAAATCGAAAACTCAAATCGAAAAATTGCTAAATATACGAATTGAAAAATTCAACATTTTGTGGAGAAAATAAAACAACAAATATGTGAATCAGTTTTTCTCAGACAAAAATTGTGATACATAAAATTCGCAAAATCAAATCTTATAATTTCTCGAAAAATCTGGACTTATTTACCTTCGATCAAATTTCGATATTACAATTTTCCATTTTTCAGATTCTCAGTTTTTGATTTTTCGTTTTACATTTATGAGAGAAAATGGAAGATTCTTCGACGCAAACTATTTTCACTCAAACAAAGTCGACAATGTTTTCCATGAAGTTTACAGAATTTGATAAAACGAAAACAGTGGTGATAACCTTGTTCCAAAATTTTCATTACTGAGATTTTGATTTTTAAAAACACGTGATGTAAAAATTTCAAATTAAAAAAAAGAGAAAGTCAGTATAAAAAATTCGCAGAATCGAACCTTGTAATTTATCTACGAAAATGGATGATTGTGCTTCATGGACGAAGGAAGTTCTATTCAAAAACTTATCTCCCAAAATAATGATTCGTCGTAATAATGAGAATATCAACCGTAAGACTCCACATTGTAACAAGATTACTTTTACCAAGAAAACCTTGACTAATAATAGTTCTAGTCTTGACTAGTGTCAACATGATCAAATACGCACTTACATAAAATAAATATTTTTTAAGTTAATTATGAAAAATATATCAATTAATTTATTAAAAAACTTGCTAGTAACCGACTTTGCGGTGTTTTATGTAACTAGCAAGTATTAATTAAAAACAAGTTAATAAACACAGGCGTTTTTGATATTTTGATCCTGTTCAAACAGGCACGAAATGTTTGCAAAATTGAGTAGATAAAAGATCACGTTTTGTGTTATATGGAATGAAGACTCTAGAATTTGCCAAATGATGCTCATCGCCAATCGATTTAAATAAACGAACAGAACACTGATATAAAAAACAAAACGTGTTTTACGGGCCATTAGGAAATACCACGAACGAAAAAATGCAGCCACTGTTCTCAAGAACGTCTTCCAAATCCTTAAATATATAACAATTGTTATCTACTAAATTAAACATGACTATTTAAAACAAGTCACGAGTGTCAATAATGTTGTAGAAAAATTTGGAAACATCATCATGCTGTCTCTCTTCTTTCCTTCCAAACTATTGATAACGAGTTAGTGAAACCACTATTCCGATTAAGCAGGAAACTCTAAACAAAAGAACACAAAAACAAACAACTTTCAACATCAAAAGAATAATTAATCGCTAATCAATTAGAAACGTTTGAAGTAATCTCCTTCCTCTTACAAATGGCTCAACCAGGAGACGAAGCCCAGACCCCCGACATAAATAAATTACATAAATTTTTCCTTTACAGCCCAACCGACACAAGTAAAACATTTCCACCTTCCTATTTTTGCATTAGACAAACAAACAGTGGCCGGTATTAGTTTATGATGTGATTTACAGCCGCGATAAATCTACTCAAAGCCATTTACTCACAAAATCGACATAAAAAATATTTTTAAAACACTCCTAGTTGTACTCGAAGCCAGGAAAACGCGTCCATTGCCAACGTAATTGCAACATCAATATCGCATCCTTGTAAACGAAAAATTAGCATAAAACTAATTAAATTGATAGCATCGTCGTGTTTACGCGAACGTAAGCCTCCTTGCGCAAATCAACACCTGTACCTGTGTTGAATCACCCAGGATCGAAATTTTGGCGCAACGATTGTTGCTTGTCTTCAACCTCGAATTCTTTCGCCGCATTCTTTGTTCGACCAGACACGCTGCTTAATTTTTTCTTCGACGTGTTTTCCTTGACATTGGCAAAGGGGATTTATTGGCATCGAGCACAATGCGACGTGGCCAGGGGGGCGACGCCGGCCGAATTCCCCGTATCGACAAAACACAAATGACCGTTGCTCTACCTACAATCCAAAGACAAATAAACGAGTCCATGCATTTGTATCGATTGGCGATAAGCCTAATGTCGGCTAAATTGAATGTAGTGCACATCACGATAAAATATTACTCGTTCGAAGGCATTTTCCCCTTGTAGCAAAGCCGAGTTGCTAGGGAACATTATTGGTACAACAAACGTAAAAATACACAAATTGTTTGATTGTCCACATGAAATCATTATCGCGAACATGCGATTGAGGTTACGGTGGAGACGCGTTTACGGCCAAAATGCCCCATTATCACATGGCAACGGACGAGACAAAGGGTGCACTTAATTACCGCCGGCGCCCCGCGCTCTAGCGACCAAACAACATCCAACGACTTTTTTCATGCAGAAATTACACACTCACCTGACGCTGACTCAAGACGAAAACACAATTTCAAAAAACACGAAAAAAATGAGTACAAACGGCAATGGCGTCAGAAGATGCTAAATTATGTATGCTTGTTGATAAAGCACGTACCCCCTGGAACACGCATGATCGACATTTTGTTTGAAAAAGCGACGCCGACGCCATCTTTAGGGGCCGCGAGCGGAAACTGCAATACCGACCGGAAAAAACACTAAATCCGTGGAAATTAAAATCACAAAAGTTACACAAACGTCGTAAATTCAGTCTTGCGATTCGTGTGTACCAATTTAACCCTGAATTAAGTTTTTACGCGCGAAACAAATTAATCGCTGGGTTGATATTTTGTGACGACCTGTATTACCGACAGCGACGCTGTCAATAACTTTCGAAGCGGCAAAATGGGTAACGATATAAAACTTCCAGTTTCTCGTCGAACGCAGCTACTGGAGTCCCAAAAGGCCCTGCAAGCCGACGCTAGAGCCCTCATAAGTATATTAACCCCGCTTAAATCACCCTTCACGTTTTTTTGTAGTTCTCGAGATTCAGAAAATTTCCAACCAACTTGAAACCATTGACAACCAAATTCAAAGAGTGGAACGTAACATAGCGCAAATAAATCAAAACAATGAATACTATAAGAGGACTATACAGGTTTTTGGACCACTTAAGAAGTACTAGCAAACAACTATAATGATTTTAGGATTTATCAAAAACGCTGCACCAATTGAACATTGAGTGCCTGAACGAAAAACTGAGTGACGAGCGCTTCATGGAGACAACAAACGCTCATCTGCAAGATCTGGAGGAACCTAACAACTATGAAACAGGTTTCATTGTAATCCAAATCCTTCTCTATCTACACACTTGAATACTTGCAGCCCCCATCCTAGACGAGTATTCTTCGGCTAAAATCGCCACATTACAAAGTTCAGTGGACGCTTTAAACGCGACCATAACAACCAACCAGGACTATATAGAAAAAATAATTACAAAAGTAACCCAAAATTAATATTATTTATAAGTAAGAAAATCGTTCTAACTACAACATAAAGTCGCACTTTTTGACGGCGTCCATTTGCCTTTTGACCATCGCCGCCTTCTCCTTTAGCACCTTCTCCAAACACGCGTTCTCCTCTTGAGTTTTTTTTATCCGCGCTAGTAACCCCTCTTTGGTCAGTTTCAAATACTTCGCGTTGATTGCATTCATCACCTCTTCTTGCGACATCGCCAACCTATAACACTCCAATCAGTCACCGAAAACCCGTCACCGCAGCCCTACCGAACATTGTCGTCTCGGCGCTCCAGCCCCTTTATCGTCTCCAGCTTCTCCTCCACGTTCTGCGCCTCCCAGAACACCCTGATGTTGTTCTTGAGCTCCTCGGAGATGCTCTTAGTGATTGATTCGTGAATTTCCGTGGGACACGTCCCCAGCTTGGTCACCACCTCCCCCATGTCGAGAGCGCTGCAAATACACCAATTATACCTCGGAGTCTGCTTTGTGGCGTCCCACGTCGGTTCGGAAGAGCGGTCAGGCCGGGACCGGTGCAATATGATTGCGAAAACAACATATTTGCACGAGCCACAACCTAACTGACCGTTCCGCGCTGGAAATGCAAATAGTCGAAGCAGGTAAGAACGGACAAAAGTAAATGTAGGTGTCAAAATGGAAACGAGAAAGAGCCGTTACAAAGAATTTCAACAAAGCTTAGGGCATTGACATTTCGTACCTGACGCCCGAAGGGATCTCTTCCGCTATTTTTTCCAGAGCGGCCAGCGCCAGGCCGGGGTGCTCCGTGTACGGGTTCATGGTGGAAAAGGTGGGGCGAAAGACGGGAATTTGGGGCTGCTATCCACGAACGACGCGTTTTTAGCGGGACTTTGAGCGATAAGAGCACAAACAAAAAGTTTTGAAAAGAAACGGAGACATGCGCGTTTGACAGACCGGCGACATTTTGTGACGCGTCGGTAAAGCAGAGCCCCGTCAAAACTGAAAAATTAAAAAAATTAATTCTTACGACTTTGTTGCATTTATTCAACAATTTGCACTCGCGTTAGACGAAAACGATTAAATTGGCTTTTAATAATCAACTGCTTTGAAACAAAGTAGATAAATTGTTAACACAGTAGTCCAGAAGTAGTCATCCAGTAGATCTAGTTACATCTCAGTAGACTATCCGTACTATTAATTTTCAATTTTTCAAACACGTGCGTATTATTATTTATCACAAAATAATATACAGTGGTTCGTGAGTCCTAGCAATACTTTAATTTAAGTTAGCCAATCCTCAAGACTGACTCGATATGCATTTATCAGACGACGTAAGTAATTTTGACTTTGAGGTTAAGTCTCCCCAATAATCAAATTTTTCCTTAAGGAACACGATTTGAGCGACGATTCTCACGCAGAAGAGTCCAGCGACGACGAAGTAGGTGCCAAAAGAAAGCTCCCACAACCCACGACTCCTTTAAAAAAAGTTAAGTATGAAAACATAACCTCCAAACCAAGCAAGAAGTCCAAAAACGACTTATATAAAGCCCCCACGGTCGAGGAATTAAACGAACTGAAGGAAACCCAGAACTTGTACAACAACAACCTATTCAGACTGCAAATCGAAGAATTAATTAAAGAAGTGAAAATTAAACCTAAACACCGAAAAACGTTTACAGCATGGTTTGACCAGTTTCAAACCCTATTAACAAATTTGCCGGAATATAACATCACCTTGTCTGATATCAAACTAAAGAACAAGAAAAAGGAAACCGACAAAAGCAAATTGGTTAATTTTATCGCCAACAAGTCACTCGAGTGTGATCAAGATTTCATTGTCAAGTTGATCAAACCAGAACGTAGCGAAATCGTGGGTTTAGACAGAGTTAGTGCCCTCCCAGGCCCCAAACTGCACGTCGACGTTAACCTAAAAATGCCCAGAGACTGTTTCAACGTCAAAGACTACCTCAACAACAGATATTTTGTCAAGAGATACTATTATCTGGGGTACGTTTTCTATTATTTGAAAAAGCAAGACTTGGGGGGCGAAATTACGTGGTGCTTCCACAACGACAACGAGCTACTTCCTGTTGTAAAAGTTGCTTTGGGTGAGAAAATCACGATTAAAATTTTTGCAACGCCCTGTGACAATTATTTCAAAGTATCGCGATGTGGCGCGGACATTAACAACGTTAAAATCAACACTTTTACGACAGATGAAGTCACAGAAAGCGCGACTTTATTTTACAACGCTTCGCTAGCGCACGATTTGACTCTAACCATAAACCAAAATTTTGTACAAGAGAGTTTATCTGAACTACCAAATGCGCAAGAAGCGATCAAACTAATTTATATTTGGCTGGTCCAAAGAGGTTTGCAGTCGGGTTTAGGCGCCTTTACTGAGGACCTAATTGTCTACTTTGTTGTATATTTAGTAACGAAAAAAAGAATTAACAAACATATGAGTTCATACCAAATTATTAGAAACTTCTGGAATTTTATAACTGAAACTGACTTAACTCAAAATCCGATTAGTCTCAACGACGATTTAAAAACTGACGTTTTGGACACGTTTCAAGCGAATTTCGATGTCGTTTTTCTGGATAAAACCGGCTTTTATAATGTTGCGGCGTTTTTGGACGTCAACGTTTATAGAAAAATTAAAACTGAGTGTGGGTTGGCGTTTAAATTGTTGGATGACGGGGGAATTAATTCTTTTCATTCGTTGTTCATCACGAAGTTGCCTCTGGAGCTCCAGTATGACTTAATTCTGACTCTGAAAAGCGATTCGAATTTTGAAAATATTCTGAGTGGGATGGATCCAGACGTTAGGACGAAGTTCCTAGGGTTTTTTAACCTCTTTGTTACTAAAAATATATCCCATGTTTTACACAGAGGTTTCAATAAACGGGCTTCTCTCATTGTGCCGCTTGTGGCTGAAAATCAAAAATCCAAATTGTTGTTTGGTATCAATTTGGATCCGAGTGACGCTTTTAGTATTTTGGAACGAGGACCAGCTCTTAATGATCCAGAAGAGAAGGAATTTAAGGAGTTTTGGGGCGACTTGACTAGTGATCGCAGGTAAGTTCAGTAATTAGTTGATTGGCTGATTGCAAATTAAGCCCGTCCCACAATCTCAACGTCCAATCAAAAACACATTGTCAACAGAGAACATAGAGAAGCGTCATAGTTTAAATTAAATGAGGATTAAATTTCGATTTTTCAATTTTTGACTTTTATAAACTCTTTATTTGTCGACTTTTCAGGTTTTTTGGTTTTTCAATTTTTCTTTTTTTTTCAGGTTTCGATTTTTCAACTTCACTTTTTTTCAGTTTTGGGATTTTTCAGTTTACTTATTATTCAATTTTTCGATCTTACGATTTTGCAGGTTTTTGATTTTTCAATTTTTCGATTTTTTTAAGGTTTCCATTTTTCGACTTTTTTTGATTTTTCGATTTCTCAATTTTTCGATTATTTAGATTTTCAGTTTTTGAGTATTTCAGTTTTGGGATTTTTCAGTTTTTCGATTCGTCAGTTTTTCGTTCATTTTTCAGTTTTTGATATTTCAGTTTTGGGATTTTTCAATATTTCTGTTGTTCGACTTTTCCATTTTTGACTTCTGGATTTTTCGATTGTCGATTTTTTACTTTTTCGATTTTTAAATTTTAGATTTTTCAATTTCTCGATTTTTCATTTCAGTTCTTGGATATTTCAGTTTTCCAAGTTTTCGAATTTTTCAAATGTTTTGATTTCTTAATCAATCGATTTTTCGACTTCCCGGTTTTAGATTTTCTGTTTTTCGTTTTTTCAAATTTTCAATTTTTCTAATTTGACATTTATATACTGTCAATTTTTCGATTTTTCAATTAATCGATGTTTTGATTTTCCCATTTCTTGACTTTCGAGGGTTTCGATATTCCTGTTCTTCAATTCTTTAGTTTTTCGATTTTTAAGGTTTTTGGTTATTTATTTTTTAATTTTTTTAAGGTTTCAATTTTTCGACTTCACTTTTTGGATTTTTCTATTGCTCAATTTTTTTACTTTTTAGGTTCTCAGTTTTCGGATTTTTCAGCTTTTCCATTTTTCAATTTTTCGATTTTTCAGTTTGGGATTTTTCAATATTTTGATTCTTTGACTTTTCGACATTTGGCTTCTGGATTTTTCGATGTGTCGATTTTTTTACTTTTTCGATTTTTAAATTTTAGGTTTTTTAATTTTTTAAATTTTAGATTTTTCGATTTTTCATTTCAGTTCTTCCGATGTTTCAATTTTTTAAGTTTTCGAATTTTTCAAATGTTTCGATTTCTTAATCTTTTGATTTTTCGACTAGATTTTCTGTTTTTCAATTGTCATTTTGTCAAATTTTTGATTTTTTAATTTTTCAAATTTGACTTTATAAACTTTCAATTTTTCGATTTTTCAATTAATTAATCGATGTTTTGATTTTCCCATTTCTTGACCTTCGAGTGTTTCAATTTTCCTGTATTTCAATTCTTTAATTTTTTTATTTTTCAGATTTTTGATTTTTCAATTTTTCGATTTTTTAAGGTTTGTATTTTTCGACTTCACTTTTTTGATTTTTCGATTTTTCAATTCTTCGACTTTTCTATTTTTGACTGATTTTTCGATGTGTCTACCTTTTTACTTTTTCAAAATCGATTAAATGAAACATTATAAAATCGTGAAAATGAAAATTAAAAAAATCAAGAAAATGAAAAATAAAAATCGAGAATTTGAAGAAATAAGGAAACGAAAAATTAATTCATTGAAAAAAAACGAAAAAATGTGGCTTAAAAAATTGGTCGAAGGAAAATAAATCCAGATTTTTCGAAAAACTATAATATTTGATTTTGCGAATTTTATTTTTTATAATAACCCTTATTTTTTAAATTGGAAATCGAATATTGAAAATTTGAAAAATTGAATAAGCGAAAAATTATAATTTTGTGTTTTTTATTTTTTCGTGTTTCAGGTTCATAATTTTTCGCTTTTTCAATTCCAATTTATGCAATTTCCTAAGTTTAGATGTTAGTTTTTTATTTTTTGGTTTTTCAATTTTTCAGATTTTTGATTTCTATTTTTCATTTTTCCGATTTTTTAATTTTAATTTTTTCAACTTCATATCACAATTTTTATTTTTTCCGACTTCTTTAATTTCCAATATTTCACTTTTACAATACATTTTTTTTCAGTTTTGCACTTTTCGATTTTTAGCTTCCTTAATCTTTATTCTTTCGATTTTTGAATTTTTCGTTTCTTCAATTTTTCAAGTTCTTGATTTCCAATTTTTATAGTTTTCAAAGTTCTTTTTTATTTTAGATTTTTCTATTTTACAATTTTGCATTTTTTCCATTTTTTTATGCGAAAAGTTTAAAAATCGAAAAATTAGAAAATCGGAGAAAAATTGAAAAAATCCAAAACTTGAAAAAATGAGAAATCGAAAAATCAAAAAAGTGAAAAATCGAAAAATTGTAACTCGAAGAGTTGACGAAACGAAAAATTGAAACATCGGAAAACTAAAAATGGAGAAACTTAAAAATCGAAAAAAATAATTAATCCAAAAACCGGAAAAAAACGAAAATTGGAAAATCGAAAAATATAAAAAAAAAATCTGAAATCGTAAAAATGTGAAAATTTTTAAAAATCATATAATAATAATTTATGACATATTTAAAATGAACACTAAAAAAATTGCAAATCAAAAATTGAAGAAACAAAATAGTGAAAATTGCACAAACTGAAAAATCTAACATCGAAACGAAAAAACTGCAAATCGAAAAATTACAGAAATCAAAAATCGAAAGGTTAAAATTGAGAAACTTAAAAATCGAAAAATCAAAATTTGTATTGTAAAATCTATTTTTGGATTCACGAGTTTTTGGTTTTTCGATTTTTCAGTTTTTAGATATTTCAGTTTTTGGATTTTTCAATATTTCAGTTCTTCGGCTTTTCTATTTTTGACTTCTGGATTTTTCGATGTGTCTACCTTTTTACCTTTTCAAAATCGATTAAATGAAACATTATCAAATAGAGAAAATGAAAATTAAAAAAGTCAGGAAAATGAAAAATTAAAATCAAGAATTTGAAAAAATAAGGAAACGAAAAATTAATTCATTGAAAAATTAATTCATTGAAAACAAACGAAAAAATGTGGCTTAAAAAAATTGGTCGATGGAAAATAAATCCAGATTTTTCGAAAAACTATAATATTTGATTTTGCGAATTTCATTTTTTATAATAACCCTTATTTTTTAAATTGGAAATCGAATATTGAAAATTTGAAAAATTGAATAAGCGGAAAATTATAATTTTGTATTTTTTATTTTTTCGTGTTTCAGTTTCATAATTTTTCGCTTTTTCAATTCCAGTTTTTGCAATTTGCTAATTTTAGATATTAGTATTTCATTTTTTGGTTTTTCAATTTTTCCGATTTTTGATTTCTATTTTTCATTTTTCCGATTTTTTGATTTTAAATTTTTCAGTTGTATATCACATTTTTTCATTTTTTTATTTCCTTTATTTTTCAGTTGTTCGAGTTTCTAATTTTTAATTGTTCCGACTTTTTTAATTTCCAATATTTCACTTTTACAATACATTTTTTTTCAGTTTTGCACTTTTCGATTTTTAGCTTCCTTAATTTTTATTCTATCGATTTTTTAATTTTTCGTTTCTTCAATTTTTCAAGTTCTTGATTTCCAATTTTTAGAGTTTTCAGAGTTCTTTTTTATTTTAGATTTTTCTATTTTACAATTTTGCATTTTTTCCATTTATTTTATGCGAAAAGTTTAAAAATCGAAAAAGTGGAAAATCTTAAAATTGTAACTCGAAGAACTGAAGAAACGAAAAATTCAAACATTGGAAAACTAAAAATGAAGAAACTTAAAAATCGAAAAAAATAATTAATCCAAAAAGTGAAAAAAAACGAAAATTGGAAAATCGAAAAATATTAAAAAAAAAATCTGAAATCGTAAGAATGTGAAAATTTTAAAAAATTATATAATAATAATTTATAACAAATTTAAAATGAACACTAGAAAAATTGCAAATCAAAAATTGAAGAAACAAAAAATTGAAAATTGCACAAACTGAAAAATCTAAAATCGAAACGAAAAAAGTGCAAATCGAAAAATTACAGAAATCAAAAATCGAAAGATTAAAATTGAGAAACTTAAAAATCGAAAAATCGAAATATGTTTTGTAAAATCTATTTTTCGACTTCACTTTTTTGATTTTTCGATTTTTCAATATTTCAATTCTTCGGATTTTTTTCTATGTGTCTACCTTTTTACTTTTTCGATTTTTCAATCTTTTGATATTTTAATGTTTCAATATTTCTTAATCTTTCGATTTTTCGACTTCCTGGTTTTAGATGTTGTTTTTCAATTTTTCGATTTGTTAATTTTTCATTCCCGATTTTTCGATATTTTAATTGTCAATTTCTCAATTTATAAATTGTACAATTTTTAACTTTCCGATTTTTCGATTTTGGCTTATTTCGGTTTCTCAATTGTTCGACTTTTCTCAGGCGACGAGTTGTAGTGAATCAAGTTTTTTTATTGGCATCGACTATTTAAATTTGGCGCTTGAGGACTCCAATGTCAATAAGGGTGGTTTTGCAAAATCAGCCTGTCGCATCTATATTAATCTATGTTGTCAACGTCGACTTGATTTTAGGTTTAAAGACGGCTCAGTGTGCGTCGCTGTCTACTTTAAAACCGAAACGGTGAAAGAAAGGCGGGGAATCGTCACAACTATAGCAGACAGGGTTGCCACCCGAAACCTAGGTCTCCAATATAGCTTACACTACAACGACTTTGAAGACTTATTGGTCAATAAAAAAGTAGTGGCGGCTTATCCAATGGGAACCAACGAAGAATGTTGCTTGAAAGCGATTTCCGCCGGGGACCAACTAGGAAAAAAATTGAGGGGGTTAGAAATGCCGCTATCCATAACAGGGGTTCAAGGGATTTCAGACACAGTCAGTATGACAGAAGTATTCCCTCCAATTTCCACCAATTACAGATGCGGCAATAAAATCACCACCACGCTAGAAAACAACATAATTATCAATGACAAAAAAGACAAAGTTGGTGTCATTCCAAGATACATAAAACCGATAGAGTACGTCCTCCAATTAGGTAAGTAATCACACGATTCGCAGTGGCGCCATTTTATAACCACGTGAATTTATTTTATAGAACACAGCTCAAAATGGCCGAAAAACTTGACCACCCTCCGCCACATGAAAACCGCCTTCTACTTAGAAATCTCCAAACTCTTGTCAAAAAAACACAAACTAATTACAAGCGTAAAACCCGACCACTTGGACGTGCTTTATGAAGGCTACGTCTTCCGGTACCGCCTCTTCCTCCCCAGGGAGGTCGGTCTTTTGAAAAAAGAGTCCACCAATAACGGCACGACGCTCTACAAAGACACGCCCGAGAGTCGCCAATTCGAGGTTCAGTTCAACATTCTCCCTAAATTAACCGGGGCTTTGAAAGGTCTGCAGTCCCAATTCCCGAGCTTTGGCCCCGCCACTGCTCTAATCAAGCGGTGGCTAAGGTCACAACTCATCGACTGTCACCACTTCCCGGACCACGTCATCAACTTACTCAGCGCCTCGTTGTATTTGAACCAATCGGCGTTCAGCATTCCCAATACCCCACAAATCGGGTTTTTAAGATTCCTCAAGTTCTTTACAGAGTTACAATGGCAGATACAACCAGTGGTGGCTAATTTTAACGACGAAATTACAAGTACGTACGTGGATTTTGGTTATAAAATTGATTTAATTGTGTTTTTGTTTTTTTTCAGAGGAAACTTTAGCCGAAATTGACTCCAAACTCCTACAGAACCGGGACGCCTACCCGAATTTGTTTGTAGCGACGGCGTACGATGGGTGCGAGTCGGTGTTCACGAAAGTGGCGCCCTCTAAGGAGGTTTTAAGGCGGGTTAAGCAACTAGCAGGGGAGACTTTAAATCATTTTAGTAAGATTGTAAGGGATGACAGTTTTATAAGTATCAAAAGCTTGTTTATTCCGAATTTGGGTGGCTATGATGTTGTTATACACCTGCGCCCCCTTTTGAACCCCGTCAGGCACGAACAAGTGATTGTGGACGAGTTAGAAGGACAGGTTGTTTTGAAAGCTTTTGATGTCAAGGAAGCCACAAAAATTCCAGTTGTTGATTTTAATCCTGTTGAGTGTTATTTGAAAGAGTTGAGGAACGACTATGGAGAGTTTGCGAATTTTTTCCATGATAGCTACGGCGGAAACGTGATTGGGGTTTTGTGGGTACCCAAAGCTGTGGAAAGTCGGGATTTCAAGGTAAAGAATAACGTCACGAAAAATTCGTCAAACAGATAACTGTAATACAAATTTTTATTTAGGTTTGTTACGTTGGAGGGAGGAAATTGAAAGACGGAAAGTTGGTTTTAAACATAGATGCCTTGATTGAAGATTTTTATATTTTAGGAAAAGGTTTAGTTAAGTCAATTGACAAAATAAAGTAAAAGTGAAAGCGCTCTATTGTGTTTTATTATATCTATAATATCAAATATGAACCTAAATAACAATCAATTATTTCTTTTGTGACATCACATGTTCAATGACGAGTTTATCGGTGCTGTACAGTTGACCTATAATAACCTGAAAAAAACAAAAATTGCAGCTATTAATCCCCCATAAATAACAAACTAATCTGATATTGCGCAACTGAAAAATTCCACAAAAAACACAACGTGAATCAAACCCACCTGTTTTTTGATAGTTTCCAAACTCCTGGCCGCCTCCTCCAATTTGTTCCTAATAACGTCTTCATCCCCTAGATTCCTATTTTCCCGAAAACTGTCTCGTATCCTCCTCAAGGCATATTGTCTGACCCCAAAAAATTAGAACAAGGTCGCACTACAAAAACCGACTCACCTAAAATTGTACGACGGAAACTTCTTCGATTCGCTAATGAGCGACTTATACAGCTGCAACGCCTGTCTTTTACTCATTTTTCGAAATTTTCACTCTCCGGCGTCGAGACTTAACCTCAAAAAAAGCAAGGTTATGTCCAGTCGACAGTTGCCAATTTTTGACAGTGAGACTAAAACACTAAAATTAACAATTTTAATTGAACAAGATCATAACAAAATGAGCTATAATTGAAGAATGTTCTCAATTTTCGACGTCCTGAATGACGATTTGCACAAACAATAAAGTGAGGTTAGATACGTTGGTGACATAACCTCAAAACGTGTTTGGATTATTAACAACAACCATGTCGGACGCTTGGGAGGAGATTCAAGCTATTAAGAGCAAACGAAACATCCTTAGGGAGCGTCTCGAGAAGCGCAAGAAGGAGCGCCAGGATATCTTGGGGTCGAGTCTCAACTCGTCTACGTCGTCGCCGGTGCACCTAGCCGACAGCCCCCATGCCTCCACCGCCGGTAGCACCAACGACGAATCAAAAAGCAAGCAAGACGAGGCGGAAATCGACTTGGTTAAAATCGACCCGGAGCTAGAAAAAGAGCTGCTCAAAGCCCTGAGTGAAGTGACCCTTCAAATCCCCACAACGTCCACCAAACTGGTTGATTCGGTGAAAGCCAACTTGAATCGACACGCCTCACATAAGGAAGTGTGTAATTTGTTACAAAAATTCTCCACACAGAAGTTAATAACCATCAAAGACTTAATCAAAGATGGGAAAAATACAGTCGAGGTGACTTTCATTGACGTGACTAAGGTGAACGCTATGATTGCGGAGTTCGCCCCTGAGAAGACTGAGCGTGACGGGAAGGAGAATTTGAAACGAAAAAGGGACGAAAATGAGAAGACTGAGGACGAAGAGAGGCGAAAAAAGGAGAAGAAGGAGCCGAAAGCAGACATTATGGTATTTTTTGCGTTGTAACGAATCTCTAAACTATTTAATTGTTTCAGTCGTTGCTATCAATGCCTTCAACGAAAGAAAAAGAGAGCAAAAAGCTCGGTGAAGAAATTCTCGATTTGTTAAGCAAACCGACTGCAAAGGAGCGTTCTTTGACCGAGAGATTTCGCTCCCAAGGGGGCAAACAACTGATGGAGTTTTGCCCCCACGGCACCCGCACCGACTGCGAGCGGAACGGCATCACCGAATGTAAGAAGTTGCACTTCAAAAAAATCATCCAGAAGCATACGGACGAAGCCCTGGGTGATTGTTCCTTCCTCAATACGTGCTTTCACATGGATACTTGTAAATATGTTCACTATGAGGTGGATCGTTGCGGCCAGACTGAGGGTGTCGCCCCCACGACGACTGCCATTTCCGTCGCTCCGAAAGAAAGCACGACTTTGTACCCCCCTCAGTGGGTCCAGTGCGATTTGCGCTATCTAGACATGACAGTATTAGGGAAGTTCGCCGTGATTATGGCGGACCCACCATGGGACATCCACATGGAGCTTCCATACGGGACTATGTCAGACGACGAGATGCGACAATTGGGGATTCCACAACTCCAAGACGAAGGACTGATTTTTTTGTGGGTGACAGGGCGTGCGATGGAGTTGGGGCGCGAGTGTTTAAAACTATGGGGGTACGAGCGAGTGGATGAAATAATCTGGGTGAAAACCAACCAGTTGCAGCGGATAATCCGCACAGGACGCACCGGTCATTGGTTGAACCACGGTAAAGAGCACTGTTTAGTCGGGATGAAAGGCAACCCCAAAAATCTAAATCGGGGCTTGGACTCCGACGTGATCGTCGCAGAAGTGCGCGCCACCAGCCACAAACCCGACGAGATTTACGGAATGATCGAGCGCCTGTCCCCCGGGACGCGCAAAATCGAATTATTCGGGCGCCCCCACAACATCCAGCCCAACTGGATCACCCTCGGCAACCAAGTGGACGGGATCAAGCTCGTCGACGCCGACTTGATCGAGAACTTCAAGAAGCGCTACCCCAACGGGAACTGCATGGGCCCCCCTAGCGAGACCGCTCACTAACTGTTTTTGTTTATCGAGTGATCCGCGACTTTTGACTTTATTCACGTCGGTTTAGTGAGTTTTGTCGCGTGCGGTTGGTGGCGTCGATCAGCTGATGCGAGTGACAGACGTCAGAATTTACAATCAAAATGGCGTCGGGGAGTTTTTAGACAAAGGATCGTTCCAATTAAGAGAAAAAAGAATAAATTGTTTGATTTGTTGATTGTTGTGTGTTACTGTTGTTCAAAGACTGTTTTTATTAATTACGGAAAATGCTGACGCTCAACGTTGTTCCTGAACGCTCTTTGGGCTGTGAACAGTGGGAGTTTGTAGTAGGTGGGTTTGATTTTTTTTGTTATTATTTTTATTGCGCGTATGTCGCTGGACGACGGATCGGGAAAGGGGCGACCGATGACAGGGCGAGCCCCGACTGCAAAACAACATTTGCGCAACGGGTTTGGCCCGAGCGACCTTCAAATGATTGAAGATTTTATTTCTGTTTTATTTAAATTAAATGCGCTCTTTGATGAGAAATTTTTTGGCGAAATTCGCGCCCTAAAATTAGATTTTGTGGTAAAACGGGCGAAATACGGTAAGTGGATTTTTTTTTATTATTATTTTTTAATTAATTTTTTTGGTGCTGACTTTTTCGTTGTTCCAGGGATGCATTTTTCTCAAGCTATTGCAATTATACAGTCCCAAGTTGGGTACATTAAAAACGTTCAGGTTCTTTACAATGATACTGTGAGTATGGCTAAAGGTCCTACAACTTCTCCTGACCGTTGACTTTTCAGAACCCCCTAGACATAGACCTTGTTCTAAATTTACCTCAAGATGGCATTAGATTGTTTTTTGATCCAGTTTCACAAAGGCTTAAGATTATTGAAATATACTGTATGAAGTTGGTTAAGTTAAAATACTGGTAAGAGTAGCATGTAGTTTTATTGAATTTTTTTTTTCATTGTTAAAAGGCCGATTTGGTGTCTTCTTAATTTAAATGTGTTCAGTAACAAAATACTCGCAGTGACATTAAAAATAAATTGTACATCAAGTTGGCTTTGGAATTTCGTCAACTTTGCCGCTTCGTTGTAATGATTCATGGATAGTCCATTGTCTGTCGCAAACAGAGAACATAGAGAAGCGTCATAGTTTAGATTAAATGACGGTTGAGGACTCCTCGACTTATGTTGGCAACAGTGTTTGGTTCTAACTAGGAATAAAATTAACTACAATAGAAAAAATGTCATAATATTTTTAACGACGCATTTTACTTTTGACAAATTGACATTAGATTTACCAGAATATTACAAGCTGCTTACTTGTTTGGTCTATAGACCAGAGCGAACTCAGGCCAATGTCGACTCTAAGCGTTTCGTGATCTGATACATCCTAACCGGTTTCGACCATAATTTCTGCTGTTTCAACTTTCGAATTGTCAGTTTTTCGAAATTTTAGTTTGGGGACTTTTCAGTTTAGTCCTATTTATTATTCAATTTTTGACTTTTATCAACTTTTTATTTGTCGATTTTTCAATTAATTCATTTTTCAGGTTTTCTGGTTTTTCAATTTTTCTATTTTTTCAGGTTTCGATTTTTCAACTTCACTTTTTTGAAAAATCAAATTTCTCAATTTTTCATTTCAGTTCTATTTCCGTTTTTCATGTTTTCGAATTTTTCAAATGTTTTGATTTCTTAATATATCGATTTTTCGACTTCCCGGTTTTAGATTTTCTGTTTTTCAATTGTCGTTTTTTCAAATTTTCGATTTTTCAATTTTTCAAATTTAACATTTATAAACTGCCAATTTTTCGATTTTTCAATTAATGGATGTTTTGATTTTCCCGTTTCTTGACCTTCGAGTGTTTGGATTTTCCTGATTTTCAATTCTTTAATTTTTTGATTTTTCAATTTTTCGATTTTTAAGGTTTTTATTTTTAACTTCATTTTTTTGATTTTTCGATTTTTCAGTTTTAGGATTTTTCAATATTTCAATTTTTCGGCTTTTCTATTTTTGACTTCTGGATTTTTCGATGTGTCTACATTTTTACTTTTTCAAAATCGATTAAATGAAACATTATAAAATCGGGAAAATGAAAATTAAAAAAATCAGGAAAATGAAAAATAAAAATCAAGAATTTGAAAAAATAAGGAAACGAAAAATTAATTCATTGAAAAATTAAAGAAAGTGAAAAAAACGAAAAAATGTGGCTTAAAAAAAATTGGTCGAAGGAAAATAAATCCAGATTTTTCGAAAAATTATAAAATTTGATTTTGCGAATTTTATTTTTTATAATAACCCTTATTTTTTAAATTGAAAATCGAATATTGAAAATTTGAAAAATTGAATAAGCGAAAAATTATAATTTTGTGTTTTTTATTTTTTCGTGTTTCAGTTTCATAATTTTTCGCTTTTTCAATTCCAATTTTTGCAATTTCCTAATTTTAGATATTAGTTTTTTATTTTTGGTTTTTCAATTTTTCCGATTTTTGATTTCTATTTTTTATTTTTCCGATTTTTTTATTTTAATATTTTCAATTTTATATCACAATTTTTCATTTTTTTATTTCCTTTATTTTTCAGTTGTTCGAGTTTCCAATTTTTAGTTTTTCCGACTTCTTTAATTTCCAATAGTTTACTTTTACAATACATTTTTTTTCAGTTTTGCACTTTTCGATTTTTAGTTACTTAATTTTTATTCTTTCGATTTTTCAATTTTTCGTTTCTTCAGTTTTTCAAGTTCTTGATTTCGAATTTTTAGAGTTTTGAAAGTTTTTTTTCCATTTTTTTTTTATGCGAAAAGTTTATAAATCGAAAAATTAGAAAATCTGGAAAAATGAAAAAACCCAAAACTTGAAAAAATGAGAAATTGAAAAATCGGAAAATTGTAACTCGAAGAACTGAAGAAACGAAAAATTGAAACATTGGAAAACTAAAAATGGAAAAACATAAAAATCGAAAAAACAATTAATCCAAAAACTGGAACAAAACGAAAATTGGAAAATCGAGAAATATAAAAAAAAATCTGAAATCGTAAAAATGTGAAAATTTTTAAAAATTATATAATAATTATTTATTACATATTTAAAATGAACACTAGAAAAATTGCAAATCAAAAATTGAAGAAACAAAAAATTGAAAATTGCACAAACTGAAAAATCTAAAATCGAAACGAAAAAAGTGCAAATCGAAAAATTATAGAAATCAAAAATGGAAAGATTAAAATTGAGAAACTTAAAAATCGAAAAATCAAAATATGTACATAATGTAAAATCTATTTTTCGACTTCACTTTTTTGATTTTTCGATTTTTCAGTTTTTAGATATTTCAGTTTTAGGATTTGTCAATATTTCAATTCTTCGGCTTTTTGTATTTTTGACTTCTGGATTTTTCGATGTGTCTACCTTTTTACTTTTTCAAAATCGATTAAATGAAACATTATAAAATCGAGAAAGCGAAAATTAAAAAAATCAGGAAATGAAAAATAAAAATCAAGAATTTGAAAAAATAAGGAAACGAAAAATTAATTCATTGAAAAATTAAAGAAAATGAAAAAAACGAAAAAAAGTGGCTTAAAAAAATTGGTCGAAGGAAAATAAATCCAGATTTTTCGAAAAATTATAAAATTTGATTTTGCGAATTTTATTTTTTATAATAACCCTTATTTTTTAAATTGGAAATCGAAAATTAAAATTTGAAAAATTGAATAAGCGAAAAATTATAATTTTGTATTTTTTATTTTTTCGTGTTTCAGTTTCATAATTTTTCGCTTTTTCAATTCCAATTTTTGCAATTTCCTAATATTAGATCTTAGTTTTTTATTTTTTGGTTTTTCAATTTTTCAGATTTTTGATTTCTATTTTTCATTTTGCGATTTTTTGATTTTAATTTTTTCAATTTTATATCACAATTTTTAATTTTTCCGACTTCTATTTTTTTTTTTTAGATTTTTCTATTTTACAATTTTGTATTTTTTCCATTTTTTTTTTATGCGAAAAGTTTAAAAATCGAAAAATGAGCAAATCGAGAAAAATGAAAAAACCCAAAACTTGAAAAAATGAGAAATTGAAAAATCGAAAAATTGTAACTCGAAGAACTGAAGAAACGAAAAATTGAAACATTGGAAAACTAAAAATGGAGAAACTTAAAAATCGAAAAAAATAATTAATCCAAAAACTGGAAAAAAACGAAAACTGGAAAATCGAACATTATAAAAAAAAAAATTCTGAAATCGTAAAAGTGTGAAAATTTTTAAAAATTATGTAATAATAATTTATTACATATTTAAAATGAACACTAGAAAAAATGCAAATCAAAAATTGAAGAAACGAAAAATAGAAAATTGCACAAACTGAAAAATCTAAAATCGAAACGAAAAAAGTGCAAATCGAAAAATTACAGAAATCAAAAATCGAAAGATTAAAATTGAGAAACTTAAAAATCGAAAAATCAAAATATGTATTGTAAAATCTATTTTTCGACTTCACTTTTTAGATTTTTCGATGTTTCAGTTTTTAGATATTTCAGTTTTAGGATTTTTCAATATTTCAATTCTTCGGCTTTTTGTATTTTTGACTTCTGGATTTTTCGATGTGTCTACCTTTTTACTTTTTCAAAATCGATTAAATGAAACATAAAATCGAGAAAATGAAAATTAAAAAAATCAGGAAAATAAAAAATAAAAATCAAGAATTTGAAAAAGTAAGGAAACGAAAAATTAATTCATTGAAAAATTAAAGAAAATGAAAAAAACGAAAAAATGTGGCTAAAAAAAATTGGTCGAAGGAAAATAAATCCAGATTTTTCGAAAAATTATAAGATTTGATTTTGCGAATTTTATTTTTTATAATAACCCTTATTTTTTAAATTGGAAATCGAATATTGAAAATTTGAAAAATTGAATAAGCGAAAAATTATAATTTTGTGTTTTTTATTTTTTCGTGTTTCAGTTTCATAGTTTTTCGCTTTTTCAATTCCAATTTTTGCAATTTCCTAATTTTAGATATTAGTTTTTTATTTTTTGGTTTTTCAATTTTTCAGATTTTTGATTTCTATTTTTCATTTTTCCGATTTTTTAACTTCAATTTTTTCATTTTTATATCACAATTTTTAATTTTTTTCCGACTTCTTTAATTTCCAATATTTCACTTTTACAATACATTTTTTTTCAGTTTTGCACTTTTCGATTTTTAGTTCCTTAATTTTTATTCTTTCGATTTTTGCATTTTTCGTTTCTTCAATTTTTCAAGTTCTTGATTTCCAATTTTTAGAGTTTTCAAGTTTTTTTTTTTGTTTTAGATTTTTCTATCTCGGGAAAAATTAAAAAACCCAAAACTTGAAAAATCGAAAAGTGGAAAATCGAAAAATTGTAACTCGAAGAAACAACTATTTTCCGCAGAAATTATAGTCCAAACCAACCAAATCGCTTCTGAACGCTTAGAGTCGACATTGGCCTGAGCGCGCTCTGGTCTGTAGATCAAACTAGTTCTCAGGCGACGAGTTGCAGTGAAACAAGTTTTTTTATTGGTCACAAATGTCAATCATAACCTAACTTTTTAAGTTTTTATTTATGTTATTTTTATTATGATTCTTATTGAAAATACAGTATCAAATTTTTCAAAACCATCTTAAAGTACGATCTTTTTTAGTAACTGTGATATCACAACAAATGTTCATCTTTACTCTACTGGCTAATTCTGGCTTTGTTTTTCTTGTTCGTCCCTCCCTCGTCATCGATTTCCTCTAACGCTCTCTCTTCTTCAGTAATCTCCCATTTAACTCGCCAGAAGTACTGCCATCGATTGAACAAATCGAACATTCATTTGGTGCCACACATCCCGGAGTGTACGATTCGGAGAAAGAGCTCTTCATCCTAAATTTCAGAGGTCTCTCGTTCTACTTCCCCGTCGAGTCGAAATTTCAGTCTGGGAATACCCACAACCTGGGTAAGGCGACTTCGGTGCCATCTCAGCCCCCCACTAATCGCATACTAACAGGTTCTCTTCAATTCCCACCAGGAAGTTCGCCTTTAGTCTCCAGAATGACAATATACTACGGCTCGAACATCGAGCAGGCGTACGCCCCCGAGTTGCCGCTCTCGTGCTACCACGGCCAGCTCTACCTCCAGAAAGCCGAGATCGTGCGCGGCGAGTGCTACACGAAAGGGATTAAGTTGAGTCTGCTCGCAGGTAAACACCACCTTACCGTTACTTAAGTTAAGTCAGGTTGTAAGAAAGTGGGTTATTTTAGTTAACAGCGCCGATATTGGCAATAAGAACAAATTAATTAGCGGGCCACACGTGAGGTTTAGTAAGTTTTCGTGCGCGCTTGTTCCTATAACGCAATAATTCCAATAATTTTCTCGTTGTGTTAACATTGACCACTAATTTGGTGTCTCGACTTGGGTGTGGAAAGGTGGTAAGAGGGTGGTTTTTTAGGTACGAATAACCGACGGATCGATTCGAAGATCCAGTTCGAGAGGGAGGTGCTGTTAGGACACACGGCGCAGGATGTGGCTACGGCGCTGGGCGCGCCCTCTGAGGTGTTCTACAAGAGTGAGGATAAAATGAGGATTCATACCCCGAATGCTCTGAGGCGGGATACGGATACGAGGAGCGACTACTTTTTCAATTATTTTACGCTGGGGATGGTAAGGGGGTGAAGTTAGAGGGATTTTTTTATATTTTTCGTTGTTACTAGGATGTGTTGTTTGATGCCCGCACGCATTTAGTGAAGAAGTTGGTTTTACACACAAACTACCCGGGTCATTATAATTTCAATATTTACATGAGGTGCGAGTTTAAGTTGTCGTTGAATGGAGCCGACATTGATGCCTACTGCCATTGGGACGATATTTGCAAGAAATTGACCCCCAGCGAGAGACCGGTTGTTTTAAATAGGGCCAGCTCGACCAACACGACCAACCCCTTTGGAAGCACCCTGTGTTACGGATACCAGGATATTATTTTTGAAGTGAGTATCTGGTGATTCAGTCCAACAGAAGGTAAACAAATAGAAATAGTTTCTGGATATTTGTGTAATTTTCATTGATAATTACACCCACAAGTGGAGGTAATCAAAGTCCATGTAGGTGATAAACCATGACAAACAAAAACAATAAAAACTATCAATTGCGACTTGACAGTTCACGTAACCAATACGCATTAATAAATCATTACGTGTAAAGTCAAGGCTTTGTTGAACATAGAGTCACGGTCGATTGTGCTTTCTTAAATTTTTGATTTATTCTGTCTTCTGTCAAATATTTTAAGGTTATGTTTCGTATCATTTTTTTTCAACAAGCTCTCAAACGTTGTAGTGCCAACCTTAGAGTAATTAAGCACACATTAATTTCCTCACCCAATCACAACAAAGTACATAGATTTGACAGTTTCTCGTTTTTTCGATTTTTCCATTTTAAGATGCTTAATTTTTCGATTTTTCTATTTCTAGAAAATTTTGTTTTCCGTATTTTTCTATTTCCCGATTTTTAATTAATCAGTTTTTCGATTTTACAGTTTCTTTTTTTTTCAATTTTTCAGTTGTTTTTTCAGTTATCGAAGTTTTCAGGTTCTCAAGTTTTAAGATTACAATTTTTAAATTTCTCGGTGTTTCAAGTTTTGTTTTTTCTATTTTTGATTTTCAATTTTGCAGTTGTTCGATTTTCTGTTTTTTAAGTTTTCACTTTCTATATTTTCTCAGTTGTTCAATTTTTTAATTGTTTTTTCTTTACCCAATTTTCAGTTTGCCAATTTTGTCAATTTTTGATTTTCAATTTTTCATTTTTTCAATTTATTCATTTTTAATTTTTTTTTCAAAATTACAATTTTGTAATTGTTTCATTTTTAAATTTGCCGATTTTTAAATTTTCAATTTTTTCAAATAATTATTAGGGCTTTTATTATTCAATTAATGGCTTTTCCATTTTTCCATGTTTCGTTTTTACGATTGCTTAATTTTTTATTTTTTTTTTTTAATTTTTGATTGTTTAATTGTTAATTTTTGATTGTTTAATTGTTAAGTTTTTGTTTTTCGTTTTTTTCAATTTTTAATTAATCAGGGATTTCAGGTTTCAATATTACAAATTTTCGATTTTTCAACTGTTTTTTCAATTATCCCATTGTTCAATTTCTCAATTTTTTCATTTTCTGATTTTTAAATTTTTCAATATCTCAAGTTTCATGTTTCAGTTTTTAAGTCTTTTTTTTTTCGGTTTTTTCAAGTTTACTATATTTTTTCAATTCTTCGATTTTGCCATTGTTGATTTTTTCGTTATCCGATTTTTTAATTTCACAGTTTTTCGATGTTTATTTTGACGTTCTTCAAGTTTTGCATTCTACAATTTGTCGATTTTTCTATTTCTAGAAAATTTTGTTTTCCGTATTTTTCTATTTCCCGATTTTTAATTAATCAGTTTTTCGATTTTACAGTTTCTTTTTTTTCAAATTTTCAGTTGTTTTTTCAATTATCGAAGTTTTCAGGTTCTCAAATTTTAAGATTACAATTTTTAAATTTCTCTGTGTTTCAAGTTTCGTTTTTTCTAGTTTTGATTTTCAATTTTGCAGTTGTTCGATTTTCTGTTTTTTAAGTTTTCACTTTCTATCTTTTTCTCAGTTGTTCAATTTTTTAATTGTTTTTTCTTTACCCAATTTTCAGTTTGCCAATTTTGTCAATTTTTGATTTTCAATTTTTCATTTTTTCAATTTTTTCATTTTTCATTTTTTTTTCAAAATTACAATTTTGTTTCCGATTTTTCAGTGTTCCGTTTTTCGACGTACAATTTTTTAGTTTTCTGGTTTTCATTTTAAAACTTATGAATTTTGATTTTTTTTTTGTATTTTTGATTGTTTAATTTATAGAAGTTTTTGTTTTTCGTTTTTTCAATTTTTCACTTTCTCGATTTTTAATTAATCAGGGTTTTCAGGTTGCAATATTACAATTTTTCGATTTTTCAATTATACCATTGTTTAATTTTTCAATTTTTTCATTTTCTGATTTTTCAATTTTTAAATTTTTCGATATTTCATGTTTCATTTTTCAGTTTTAAGTCTCATTTTTCAGTTTTAAGTCTCATTTTTCGTTTTTTTCAAGTTTTCTTTATTTTTTCAATTCTTCGATTTCTCAATTTTTTTATGAAAATTTAAAAATCGAAAATTTGAAAAATTTCATATCAAAAAATTGCAGAATTGCTTCGTTTTGTCGATTTTTCAGTTATCCAATCCAATTTTTTATTTTTTTCATTTTTCGATTTTTAGATATTTCAAGTTTCATTTTAAAATTTTTGGATTTTGAAATTTTTTTTTTTTTGTATTTTTGATTATTTAATTTATAAAAATTTTTGTTTTTCGTTTTTCCAATTTTTCGATTTTTCAATTGTTTTTTCAATTATCCACTTGTTTAATTACTCATTTTTTCATTTTTCAATTTTTGATTCTAATTTTTTCGGTTTTTTCAATTTTTCTTTATTTTTTCAATTCTTCGACTTCTCAATTTTTAAATGTATCAAAAAATTGCAGAATTGCTTCGTTTTGTCGATTTTTCACTTCTCGATTTTTAATTAATCAGGGTTTTGAGGTTTCAATATTACAATTTTTCGGTTTTTCAATTTTTCGATGTTTCAAGTTTCATTTTAAAATCTTTGGATTTTGAAATTAATTTTTTTTTGTATTTTTCATTATTTAATTTATAAAAATTATTGTTTTTCGTTTTTTCAATTTTTCGATTTTTCAGTTGTTTTTTCAATTATCCACTTTGTATAATTTCTCATTTTTGAAGTTTTCCATATTTCAAGTTTCATTTTTCAATTCTTCGACTTCTCAATTTTTAATTTTTTTGATTTTTCAATTTTATAATTTTTAGACGTTCCAATGTTAGAATTTGCTGATTTTAAAATTTTTCAAAATTTCGGTTTGAATAAATTCGTCATTTTGTTGAACAATTAAAAAATGAAAAATCGAGAAAACAAAAAATTAAAAATTGAGAATTTGAAAAATTTTATATCGAAAAATTGCAAAATTGCTTTTCTTTTTGTAAAGTTTTTTCAATTTCTCGATTTTTAATTATTTTGTTTTTTGATGTTTCAGTGTTACAATTTTTCGGTTTTTCAAAAATTCAGTTTGAATAAATTTGTCCTTTTGTTGAACACATAAAAAATGAAAAATCGACAAAATTAAAAATCGAAAATCTGAGAAATTTGACATCGAAAAATTGTAGAATTGCTTCGTTTTGTCGATTTTTCTACTTCTCGATTTTTGATTAATCAGGGTTTTGAGTTTTCAATATTACAATTTTTCGATTTTTCAATTTTTCCATGTTTCAAGTTTCATTTTAAAATCTTTGGATTTTGATATTAATTTTTTTTTATTTTTCATTATTTAATTTATAAAAATTTTCGTTTTTCGTTTTTTAATTATTTGGTTTTTTTGATGTCTCAGTGTTACAATTTTTCGGTTTTTCAAAAGTTCAGTTTGAATAAATTTGTCCTTTTGTTGAACAAATAAAAAATGAAAAATCGACAAAATTAAAAATCGAAAATCTGAGAAATTTGATATCGAAAAATTGCAGAATTGCTTCGTTTTGTCGATTTTTCCACTTCTTGATTTTTAATTAACCAGGGTTTTGAGGTTTCAATATTACAATTTTTCGATTTTTCAATTTTTCCATGTTTTAAGTTTCATTTTAAAATCTTTGGATTTTGAAATTAAATTTTTTTGTATTTTTTATTATTTAATTTATAAAAATTTTCGTTTTTCGTTTTTTCCATTTTAAAATTTTCGATATTTCAAGTTTCATTTTTCAATTTTTGATTCTCATTTTTTCGGTTTTTTCAATTTGTCTTTATTTTTTCAATTATTCGACTTTTTAATTTTTTGATTTTTCAATGTGACAATTTTCTGATTTTAAAATTTTTCAACATTTCGATTTGAATAAATTTGTCCTTTTGTTGAACAATTACAAAATGAAAAATCGAGAAAATGAGGAATTAAAAATTGAGAATTTGAAAAATTTTATATCGAAAAACTGCAAAATTGTTTTTCTTTTTGTTAATTTTTTTAATTTCTCGATTTTTAATTGTTTTGTTTTTTGATGTTTCAGTGTTACAATTTTTCGGTTTCTCAAAAGTTCAGTTTGAATAAATTTGTCCTTTTGTTGAACAAATAAAAAATGAAAAATCGACAAAACGAAAAATTAAAAATCGAAAACTTGAAAAATTTAATATCGAAAAATTGCAGAATTGCTTCGTTTTGTCGATTTTTCACTTCTCGATTTTTAATTAATCAGGATTTTGAGGTTTCAATATTACAATTTTTCGATGTTTCAAGTTTCATTTTAAAATCTTTGGATTTTGAAATTAAATTTTTTTATATTTTTCATAATTTAATTTATAAAAATTTTTGTTTTTCGTTTTTTCAATTTTTCGATTTTTCAATTGTTTTTTTCAATTATCCACTTGTTTAATTTGTCACTTTTTCATTTTCCGATTTTTCAATTTTTAATTTTTTGATGTTTCCATTTTATAATTTTTAGACGTTCCAATGTTACAATTTTCTGATCTTTAAATTTTTCAAAATTTCGGTTTGAATAAATTTGTCCTTTTGTTGAACAATTAAAAAATGAAAAATCGAAAAAACAAAGAATTAAAAATTGAGAATTTGAAAAATTTTATATCGAAAAACTGCAAAATTGTTTCTCTTTTTGTTAATTTTTTCAATTTCTCGATTTTTAATTATTTTGTTTTTTGATGTTTCAGTGTTACAATTTTTCGGTTTTTCAAAAGTTCAGTTTGAATAAATTTGTCCTTTTGTTGAACAAATAAGAAATTAAAAATCGACAAAACGAAAAATTAAAAATCGAAAACTTGAAAAATTTAATATCGAAAAATTGCAGAATTGCTTCGTTTTGTCGATTTTTCACTTCTCGATTTTTAATTAATCAGGATTTTGAGGTTTCAATATTACAATTTTTCGATGTTTCAAGTTTCATTTTAAAATCTTTGGATGTTGAAATTATTTTTTTTTTTGTATTTTTTATCATTTAATTTATAAAAATTTTTGTTTTTTAATTTTTCGATTTTTTAGTTGTTTTAAGTTTCATTTTAAAATCTTTGGATTTGGAAATTAAATTTTTTTGTATTTTTCATTATTTAATTTATAAAAAAAATTTTGTTTTTCGTTTTTTCAATTTTTCGATTTTTCCGTTGTTTTTTCAATTATCCACTTGTTTAATTTCTCATTTTTTAATTTTTGGTTCTCATTTTTTCAGTTTTTTCAATTTTTCATTATTTTTTCAATTCTTGGACTTCTCAATTTTTTAATTTTTTGATATTTCAATTTTATAATTTTTAGACGTTCCAATGTTACAATTTTTCGATGTTTCAAGTTTCATTTTAAAATCTTTGGATTTTGAAAGTATATATCATTATTTAATTTATAAAAAATTTCGTTTTTCGTTTTTTTCAATTTTTCAATTTTTTAATTGTTTTTTCAATTATCCACTTGTTTTATTTCTCATTTTTTCATTTTTCGACTTCTCAATTTTTAAATTGAGAAGTCGAACATAGAGAAATTGTTTTTCTCTATGTTAATTTTTTCAGTTTCTCGATTTTTAATTATTTTGTTTTTTGATGTTTCAATGTTACAATTTTCTGATTTTTAAATTTTTCAAAACTTCGGTGTTACAGTTATTCGCCTTTGCAAAATTTTATTTTAATTAAAATTGGAAATCAAGAACTTCAAAACTTTAAAATTGAAAAATTGCAAACATTTTTCGGTTTTCCAATTTTTCAATTACCGATTTTGCAGTTTTATTTTTAATTTTTCTGTTTTTACAATTTTTCGGAGTCTCAATTTTTTAATTTTTCGAATTTCATTCTTCATTGTTTCAACGATACAATTTTCCGATTTTCCAATATTTTAGTTCAAAAGCGACATTCACTTCCACCTCTTGGGTGGAAAGTGACAGTTAAGTGACATATGTCACTTTCCACCCTCGAGATTTTAAAAAGTTTGAAAGTTTCACTAAAAAATGTGCCTTAATGATGTGTCTTCAGGTGATGCCCAACAACTTAATAGCCTCTCTGAGCATATACGGTGATGGGAGACCGTACCATAGCGAGTCCGAGCATGCGTGACAGAGGCTGTCTGCCACTTACCTCATTTTGGCGAACAGGTACTGGCAACCTTAAAAAAAAACTCACTAAATCCACAGCTTAGTATACAACTTGTACAGTTATGTCAATATGTAGTTACATGATAGGAACGAATAATACCAATAGCTTAATTGTAACATTACTTTCTAGTTAGTTAATTTTGCATAAGCGGAAAACAACCAAAAAAAGTTTCAAAATTGTGATTAAAAGCAAAAAAAATGAAAAAATTGGCAAAAATACGGTTATGATCATGGTTCAATAGTTGGAGACCCTCCCCTCGGATTATTGTTAGCTTCGCAAATTGAGCTTAAAGGGGCGTTACAGGGTTATGTGTTCATTTCTTTCTTGCGTGTACATATTTCAGGTTTTTTATCCGTGTTTCAGATGGTTTTTCAACCAAAGAAAATGTAACTGGAGATTTGTTTTGAGTTGGTTTAGCTCATTACATTACCGTTTTAGTTAGGTTTTCTGTTTGTGTGTGTGTTTAAGTGACGTGTTAGGATATGTAGTAATTTATGTTTATTTTTTCGTAATGTGATGACCTAAACTGTGGCACTTCATGTATATTTTGCGTTTTTTATTCTAGTGTATAAAATGGTATCGTAAATGGAATAATATACTGATCCGGGAAGTATTCTACAGTCGGACTTCTGTTCAGTGCACTTTTCACTTTATTTTAATTGTGATAAATAATCAATGCCAGTACTATCGGGGTTCCCCCACCTACCAACCACTCTATGGAAGTTCAACTGTTAGGTGTAACCAACCGATTTATTTATTTTTAACTGATTTGTGATTCTCTCAAGGAGACAGTATATTTTTATATTTAATCATAAACTGTTATCATTTCAGATCTCACAAGGCTTTAGTTATAAAAATAATTTTTGAAAAATGTGATTCATGTCATTTATACAAATAAAAAAAATCAAAAACCCTGCTTTGTATTATTCAACAAATAATAAAATACATTACAAATATAAACATTCATTCATTGTCTTCAAAAAATTGGTCCAACTCTTTTTCGTCGTAGTCAACTTGAATTTCTTCTAGTAAGGCACTTGGCTGCTTCTTTGGAAGATCTAGTTCTAAAAAATCGTCAGTGTGTACACACAAATAAAAAAAAACTTACTAGGTATTGTTCCGAAATTTTTGAAAATCTCGAGGTCGTTTTTAAAGGCTTCGTGAAAAACTTTCTGGCGCTCTTCAAGCTCTTTCTTTTTTTTATCCTCCAAGTCCGCGACGGTTCTATCATGCTTTTGTTGGAGTGAAGTTTCGAAAGTTTTTAGTGACTCTAGAAACCAATATTTGACTATGAGTACCATTCAAAGTGTGACAACCCCAATACCTTCTTTCCTCGCCTTGTACTGCTGCAAGTGGTACCGGTGCTGCTTCTTCATACTCTCGAACTCCACCGTATCTATCAAATCCTCCAGCTGCAGCAGCCCCTCTTCGACCTCACTAAACCCGCGATACAGTTGCTCAATCTGCTTTGTACAGTTACTAATGTTCAGCATTAAGTTAGAATTAGACAACAAGTGGGTCATCACCCCCAGACTCTCCTTATCCCTCTGAATCTTCGTGGTCACTTTGGCAATCAAATCGGCGGCTTCTTCCGCCTTTTTCGCGTTCTCCTCATTAGTGCTGTGTATCACTTCCCATTCGTTCTGATAACGTGTTAAAATATCGCTACCCGCATTCAAATTTACCGCACATTGCACTTGACTCTTATCACTATTGCTACTGAATAAAGGTACAGTTTTTGTGACATTCAACAGTTTGTCTCTTATTGTGGAAAACATCCTTCCCTTCTGTCCTCCGATTTCATTATCTGCAACATTTCTTTGGGTAATTACAGCGCAAAAACGGATTTGTTTACGTCGCCTACGTTTGGCAGTTGACACTCATGATCAGATGGTTTTGACGTTTTTGACGTTTGGTTGAGGCGTGGCGCCCTCTAGCGACGACATGAATTTTGGCGAAATATTTAATTTTGGACAAAATATAAATGTTTTTGGAAAAATTGAGACTCGAGGGCTTCTTGAATTTTGTTTCAGATCGACTGGATGCCTTCAGTTTAATTATTTATCGATTAATTTATTTATTCAATTCAAACTTTAGTGTAATGTGGGTTGCCTACTTTGACATTTCGCCATTAGTTGCTTCCACACTGACTTTTTTTTATTTTCTCGTCATTAATTTGACTAAATGTCTTCGTTTTATTCTGGCTTGAACTTTGTAGTCAAATTTTAAAATAAACACCAAACGGAGCCGTAATGACTGGAGATTCAATTACACTATGTAAATGACTGGCGACATTATGTTACATTTTGGACTACTATTTTTTTTTAGACATGTTTCGCTTCAAATTTTATATCAGTGCAAAGACAACATTGAACTCTCTGGGGAAGAACTGGCATTTTTGTTTAAAATTTATATTTATCACAATATTTGGCTTTTTAAAAAATTATTCAATAATGAAAATGAAGTGAAATTAGACAACCCTATTTACAAATGGACAATTTCAATAAATGGTTGAGTTTTACACATCCCGAAAACTGAAACAATGAAATTTAGAAGAACCGAAACTCGAGAAATCAAAAATCTAGAATTTTATAAATCGAAAAACTAAAATATCGAAAAGTTGAAAAATTGAGAAATCGAAATATAAAATAACCGAAAATTGAAAAATCTAAAGTTTTAAAAAACGAAAAACTGGAAATCGGGAAATCCACAAGTCGAAAAATCGTAAGCTTATAAAATCGAAAAATTGAAAAATCAAAATCCTAAGAAATTGAAAAATTGAAGAATTGAAGAAGTGAAAAATCGAAACTTTGGGAAGAAATGGAAAAATAAAAAAGGATTACTTCAGAAATTTGAAAACTGAAAATTTAGAAACGTCAAAATTTGAAAAATTCAAAAATTATATGCCCAAAATTTATCGTCTCGTTGAATTATGCAATATTTAAATTCTGTAATGTTTCATTCGATTTTGACATGCAACTTTTTTGTTTAACTACGAATTAATTCTTTAATTGTGTTTGATACTAACAAGAGGTCCTAAATTAGCAATACTAGTGGAACCGTAATCATGCAATAGTTTTTTTTTTTTTTTTGGAAAGTACAGTTATTTTTATGTTTTAGCAGCATTGTGTTCAATTTTCTATTAATTTTTACATATTTTTAGTTGCAATTTTGGTAGTTATTTTTTACTTTCACGTTTAGCAATAATAAATCAAAAAAATAAAAATTCGAAAATCTAAAATTTAAAAATCGAGAAATTGAAAAATCGGATCATTGAAAAATCGAAACATCGAAAAAGTGGAAAATCGAAAAGTTAAAAAAAAAGATGGAAAATCAAAAATTGTAAAAATTCCGAAAATTGAAAAATTAGAAGAACCGAAAACTCGGGAAATCAAAAATCTAGAATTTTAAAAATCGAAAAACTAAAATATCAAAAAGTTGAAAATTTGAGAAATCGAAATAAAAAACAGCCGAAAATTGAAAAATCCAAAGTTTAAAAAACGAAAAACTGAAAATCGGGAAATCCAGAAGTCGAAAAATCGTGAGCTTATAAAGTCGAAAAATTGAAAAATCAAAATCCTGAGAAATTGAAAAATTGAAGAATTGAAGAAATGAAAAATCGAAACTTTGGGAAGAAATGGAAAAATAAAAAAAGATTACTTCAGAAATTGGAAAACTGAAAATTTAGAAACGTCAAAATTTGAAAAATTCAAAAATTATATGCCCAAAATTTATCGTTTCGTTGAATTATGCAATATTTAAATTCTGTAATGTTTCATTCGATTTTGACATGCAACTTTTTTGTTTAACTACGAATTAATTCTTTAATTGGGTTTGATACTAACAAAACGTCCTAAATCAGCAATATTAGTGGAACCGTAATCATGCAATAGATTTTTTTTTTTTGGAAAGTACAGTTATTTTTATGTTTTAGCAGCATTGTGTTCTATTTTCTATTAATTTTTGCATATTTTTAGTAACAATTTTGGTAGTTATTTTTTACTTTCACTTTTAGCAATAATAAATCAAAAAAATAAAAATTGGAAAATCTAAAATTTAAAAATCGAGAAATTGAAAAATTGAAATATAGAAGAACCGAAAACTCGGGAAATCAAAAATCTAGAATTTTAAAAATTGAAACCTTAAAATATCGAAAAATTGAAAAATTGAGAAATCGAATTATAAAACAGCCGAAAATTGAAAAATCCAAAGTTTAAAAAACGAAAAACTGAAAATCGGGAAATCCAGAAGTCGAAAAATCGTGAGCTTATAAAGTCAAAAAATTGAAAAATCAAAATCGTGAGAAATTGAAAAATTGAAGAATTGAAGAAGTGAAAAATCGAAACTTTGGAAAGAAATGGAAAAATAAAAAAAGATTACTTCAGAAATCGGAAAACTGAAAATTTAGAAACGTCAAAATTTGAAAAATTCAAAAATTATATGCCCTAAATTTATCGTCTCCTTGAATTATGCAGTATTTAAATTCTGTAATGTTTCATTCGATTTTGACATGCAACTTTTTTGTTTAACTACGAATTAATTCTTTAATTGTGTTTGATACTAACAAAACGTCCTAAATTAGCAATACTAGTGGAACCGTAATAATGCAATAGATTTTTTTTTTTTTGGAAAGTACAATTATTTTTATGTTTTAGCAGCATTGTGTTCTCTTTTTTATTAATTTTTGCATATTTTTAGTCATAATTTTGGCAGTTATTTTTTACTTTCACTTTTAGCATTAATAAATCAAAAAAATAAAAATTGGAATATCTAAAATTTAAAAATCGAGAAATTGAAAAATCGGATCATTGAAATATCAAAACATCGAAAAAGTGGAAAATCGAAAAGTTAAAAAAAAAGATGGAAAATCAAAAATTGTAAAAATTCCGAAAATTGAAAAATTAGAAGAACCGAAAACTCTGGAAATCAAAAATCTAGAATTTCAAAATTGAAAAATTAAAATATCGAAAAACTGAAAAATTGAGAAATCGAATTATAAAACAGCCGAAAATTGAAAAATCCAAAAATTTAAAAAACGAAAAACTGAAAATCGGGAAATCCAGAAGTCGAAAAATCGAGGGCTTATAAAGTCGAAAATTTGAAAAATCAAAATCCTGAGAAATTGAAAAATTGAAGAATTGAAGAAGTGAAAAATCGAAACTTTGGGAAGAAATGGAAAAATAAAAAAAAGATTACTTCAGAAATCGGAAAACTGAAAATTTAGAAACGTCAAAATTTGAAAAATTCAAAAATTATATGCCCAAAATTTATCGTCTCGTTGAATTATGCAATATTTAAATTCTGTAATGTTTCAGTCGATTTTGACATGCAACTTTTTTGTTTAACTACGAATTAATTCTTTAATTGTGTTTGATACTAACAAAACGTCCTAAATTAGCAATACTAGTGGAACCGTAATCATGCAATAGATTTTTTTTTTGGAAAGTACAGTTATTATGTTTTAGCAGCATTGTGTTCTATTTTCTATTCATTTTTGCATATTTTTAGTCACAATTTTGGTAGTTATTTTTTACTTTCACTTTTGGCAATAATAAATCAAAAAAATAAAAATTGGAAAATCAAAAATTTAAAAATCGCGAAATTGAAAAATCGTATCATTGAAAAATCGAAACATCGAAAAACTGGAAAATCGAAAAGTTAAAAAAAAGATGGAAAATCGAAAATTGTAAAAATCCCGAAAATTGAAAGATTGTAATATAGAAGAACCGAAACTCGGGATATCAAAAATCTAGAATTTTAAAAATTGAAAAATTAAAATATCGAAAAGTTGAAAAGTTAAGAAATCGAAATACAAAACAGCTGAAAATTAAAAAATCCAAAGTTTAAAAAACGAAAAACTGAAAATCGGGAAATCCAGAAGTCGAAAAATCGTACGCTTATAAAATCGAAAAATTGAAAAATCAAAATCCTGAGAAATTGAAAAATTGAAGAACTGAAGAAGTGAAAAATCGAAACTTTGGGAAGAAATGGAAAAATAAAAAAAGATTACTTCAGAAATCGGAAAACTGAAAATTTAGAAACGTCAAAATTTGAAAAATTCAAAAATTATAGCCCAAAATTTATCCTCTCGTTGAATTATGCAATTTTTAAATTCTATAATGTTTCATTCGATTTTGACATGCAACTTTTTTGTTTAACTACGAATTAATTCTTTAATTGTGTTTGATACTAACAAAACTTCCTAAATTAGCAATACTAGTGGAACCGTAATCATGCAATAGATTTTTTTTTTTGAAAAGTACAATTATTTTTATGTTTTAGCAGCATTGTGTTCTCTTTTTTATTAATTTTTGTATATTTTTAGTCACAATTTTGGTTGTTATTTTTTACTTTCACTTTTAGCAATAATAAAATCAAAAAAATAAAAATTGGAAAACCTAAAATTTAAAATTCGAGAAATTGAAAAATCGGATCATTGAAAAATCGAAACATCGAAAAAGTGGAAAATCGAAAAGTTAAAAAAATAGATGGAAAATCAAGAATTGTAGAAATTCCGAAAATTGAAAAATTAGAAGAACCGAAAACTCGGGAAATCAAAAATCTAGAATTTTTAAATATCGAAAAACTAAAATATCGACAAATTGAAAAATTGAGAAATCGAATTATAAAACAGCCGAAAATTGAAAAATCCAAAAATTTAAAAAACGAAAAACTGAAAATCGGGAAGTCCAGAAGTCAAAAAATCGAGGGCTTATAAAGTCGAAAATTTGAAAAATCAAAATCCTGAGAAATTGAAAAATTGAAGAATTGAAGAAGTGAAAAATCCAAACTTTGGGAAGAAATGGAAAATTAAAAAAAAGATTACTTCAGAAATCGGAAAACTGAAAATTTAGAAAC